CCCCCCCCCCCCCCCCCCCCCCCCCCCCCCCCCCCCACCCCCCCCCCCCCCCCCCCCCCCCCCCCCCCTTCTCCTCCATCCCCCTGCTGCGGGTTGCAGCAGTGGGGGGGAGGGGATCTGCAGCCCTGTGCGCCCCGCGCGCCCTGCTGCCCTGCTCCCCTGCTGCCCTGCTGCCCTGCTGCCCTGTGCGCCCCGCGCGCCCTGCAGCCCTGTGCGCCCCGCGCGCCCTGCTGTCCTGCTGCCCTGCGCGCCCTGCGCGCCTTGCAGCCCTGCGCGCCACGCGCACCCTGCTGTCCTTGCGCACCCCGTGCGCCCTGCAGCCCTGTGCGCCCCCGCGCGCCCTGCTGCCCTGCAGCCCTGTTCGCCCCGCGCGCCCTGCTGCCCTGCAGCCCTGTGCGCCCCGCGTGCCCTGCTGCCCTGCTGCCCTGCTGCCCCGTGCGCCCTGTGCGCCCTGCGCGCCCCCGCGCGCCCTGCTGTCCTGCTGCCCTGCGCGCCCTGCGCGCCCTGCAGCCCTGCGCGCCACGCGCGCACTACTGTCCTGCGCGTCCCGCGTGCCCTGCAGCCCTGTGCCGCCCCGCGCGCCCTGCTGCCCTGCAGCCCTGTTCGCCCCCGCGTGCCCTGCTGCCCTGCAGCCCTGTGCGCCCCGCGTGCCCTGCTGCCCTGCAGCCCTGTGCGCCCCGCGCGCCCTGCTGTCCTGCAGCCCTGTGCGCCTCGCGCACCCTGCTGCCCTGCTGCCCTGTGCGCCCCGCGCGCGCTGCAGCCCTGCGCGCCCCGTGCGCCCCTGCTGTCCTGCGCGCCCCGCGCGCCCTGCTGTCCTGCTGCCCTGCACGCCCCGCGCGCCCTGCAGCCCTGCGCGCCACGCGCTCCCTGCTGTCCTGCGCGCCCCGCGCACCCTGCGGCCCCTGTGCGCCCTGTGGCCCTGAGCGCCCGCGCGCCCTACTGCCCTGCTGCCCTGTGCGCCCCGCGCGCCCTGCAGCACTGCGCGCCACGCGCGCCCTATTGTCCTGCGCGCCTCGCACGCCCTTCTGCCCTGCTGCCCTGTGCGCCCCGTGCGCCCCTGCTGCCCTCTGCACGCGCATCTGCAGCCCCATGCACAGCCCCTACCCCGCCCCCCCCCCCCCCTTCTCCTCCCTCTCCCTGCTGCACGTGCAGCAGTTTGGGTGGGAGGGGAGGGGAGGGGAGGGGAGGGGAGGGTGTGAGGGGGAGGTTGCACCTATAGCGCCAGCCTGCCTCCTCTCTCTCCCAGCCGCACCTGCTGCTGTGGGGGGGAGTGTGAAGTGGGTGGGGAGGCTCAGGGGATGTGGGTGGTGGGTGACACAACTGCCGCAATTGTCGCCACGCCTCCTCCTCTCTCTCCTCACTGTTGCTGCTACTGCTGTGCGGGGGGAGGTTGAGGGGGTGCTGTGAGTCCAGCTGCAGCATCAGCCACCTCCTCCTCATTTGCCCTCTCCTTCTTCCGCTGCGCAGGGTGTACCCCTTCAGGGGGTGTTCTGCACATGGCTATTCCTGCATGCAGTTAGGGGGTGTGTCAGAATATATTATACATATATTTCTGTATAACTGCATATAGTTATAGCTGTAGTGTAGTTACTGTTTTAGTCCCTGTAGGTGGTGCACCCTTTGCCATCTCTCGCTCCTATATCTTGTACCTTGCTTTCTTGATGAAAAACTTCTTCCTTGCTTTCTCAACTCTCTCGACACTTGCCTAGCTCTCACAGCCTAGCTTTGGCTCCTATGACTTTAACAAGTCCGAGCACAAGCAAAGGGCCACAAGGCCAGTTCACATGCAGAGTTATATAAAGAGAACAAACAATACAGTGATCGTACCCTAGCAAGTGCAAGCATGCAGTTATATATATATATCACAGTACAAGCAGAGTCAAGTAGTAAGCAAGTGAGGCAAAGTAAGCACAAAGCCTAACACAGTAGCAAAACGCCGATGATCACCAGGCGGAAGTGCCTTGGTGAAGACATCAGCAGTGTTGGCCCGAGTGGCCACGTACGCAAGACGAAGCTGGCCACGCTGCTGCAACTCTCGAGCAAGGAAGTATCGCAGAGCGATGTGCTTCGTTCTGTGCTCCAGTCTGTGCTCCTAACACAAGGCAATCATGGCCTTGTTGTCTACGTACAGAACTGGAGGCCGAACGAGGCTGCTCTCCCAAGTCGGTCAGCAGGTAGGTGAGCCAGCGTAGCTCCTGAGCAGCCATGGCCACGACGTAGATCTCAGCCTCACAACTGGAGCTGAGAACCGAAGACGAGCGGGTAGACCGCCAAGAAACAGAGCCGGAACCAAGGCTGAAGGTGTAACCCTGTGACGACCGCTGCCTAGCTGAGTCGTCAACCCAGGAGGCGTCTGCGTGACCAGTGAGAACAACTGGACCCCGTCCTCCAAGCACAAGCCCCATGCCCGATGTACTGCACAGGTAACGCAGTAGTACCCTCTTCGCAGCATCCCAGTGCACCTTTCGATACCTACCAGGAGCCACGTAGCGAGCTAGAAGGCTGAGAGGGTACGCGAGGTCAGGTCGTGTGCACGTCATCAGGTCATCAGGCAACCCACAAGCTCTGGGTACGGACCACTCGTCTCTACGGACTCGTCCGAAGGTGGAGCTGAGAGCGAATGGCTGGTAGACAGAGGAGTGAGCTGTGGCGAGGAGAACTGGAAGCCGAAGCGCTGAAGGACCTGGTGCACCATGTGTGACTGAGTCAGGGTGATGGTGCGCCGTGCTCTGTCCCGGGTGATCTGCAGGCCAAGAGAGCTGCGCAGTTCACCCAGGTCAATGCACGTGTGTCTCTTCTGCAGCTCCGACTTCACAAGGGCCAGTGCCTCAGTGTCAGCTGTGGCAAAGACGAGGTCGTCGATGTACACGAGGGACGTTAGAACGGCGGTTAAGGTAGCGACGTGTCGGTGCGTAGAAACAGCGACGAGTCCGCAGTAGAAGGAGCAAACCCAAGAGCCGCAAGTGTAGTCCTCAGTGTGTCGTGCCACTCGCGAGGCGCCTGGCGGAGGACCGTAGACTGGCCGCCGGAGGCTCCACTGGGTACCTGCAGGAAACGTCCCAGTAAAACCAGGTGGTCGGCGCAGCCAGATCTCCTCGTGCAGGCTGCCCTGCAGGAAAGCTGTGCTGAAGTCCAGAGAGTGCAACTCGTAGTCACGCTGAGCAGCGACGTGCAGCAACACCGAAGAATACTCATCTTCGTGGTGGGGGAGAAGGTCTGGAAGTAGTCAACTCCCTGTCGCTGACTGAAGCCTCGAGCAACGTAACGCGCCTTGAAGGCAGGCGGAGAATCCGGCGGCCACTTCACCCTGAAAATCCACATGCCATCAACCATGTTCGCCCGAGACGGGGCACTTCATTGACGTAGGTGCCTGTGGACTTCCAGGATGCCATCTCGGCATCCATAGCTGCCTGCCACTGAGAGGAGTAAGGACCTGTAATCGCCTCTGCGTAAGAGCGCGGGGTCGGGATGTGTGGAGCATTCGAGTCTCCCTAAGGGGCAAGCAGCATGGAAGCGAAACGAGGTACAACAGCTGCAAGATACTCCAAAGTCCTCCTGCTTGTCCTCAAGGACGTCCGTGCAAAGAGCAGACTCACCCCCGACAGACGGAGGACTGGCAGACACAGACTCAGCAACTAGAGCAGTGGCGTAGTCGAGACGGCAAGCAGCAGCAAAGTCAAGCAGCTCAGCAACGAGAGCAGACGCAGCCGCAGACTCAATGGAAGGGTCAGTGACAGCAGTGGCGAGGAAACGAGAGACAGTGGGACTGGCAGCACGAGCGCGGTCAGACGCAGGGTCAGGGACGGCAGGAAGAGAGGACTCAGGAGGAGCAAGCAGAGGAATACGAAGTGGAACACAGGAAGGACGGAGTGCCATATCGTGCGTGCCGGGGACAGGAAGAGGACGCGAACGAGGAGCGCGACGAGCAGTGCGAACAGGCGAGACAGGACGAGACGCAGTCTCACGACGCTCTGTAAGACCGCCGGACTGCTCAGTGTAAGGAGAGGGAGCATGCAGTGGGGAGGCTGGCTGTAACGGCGGCTGCGATTGGTCAGGCGGTGGACACAAGAAGGGAGGAGGAAGACCAGTAGAAGACGAGACACCAAGAACCTGCTGAAGCAGGGGAACGAAGTACGGTCGCGGCCGCACAGTGCCTCCAGCACCTCCAGCGCCAGGGTCAACAGCTCCAGCTCCTGCAGCTCCAGCGCCTCCGGCGCCAGTGCCTCCAACTCCAGCTCCTGCAGCTCCAGTGCCTCCTGCGCCAGGGCCTCCAACTCCAGATCCTGCAGCTCCAGCGCCTCCAGCGCCAGCTGCTCCAGGCTCCGTAGGGTCTCCGACTCCAGCGCACCCAACACCACCAGTCCCGGCAGCTCCAGCACCACTGGTACAAGCACCTGCAGGACCAGTAGCCGCAGTACCTCTAGTACCGCCAGCTCCAGTAGTAATAGCATCACCTCCAGCTCCAGTGTCTCCAGCGCCTCCAGCTCCGGAGCTCCACTCCGACGGTGTGCGCGCCGAACAAGCCACTCACGAAGCTGCTGCGAGGACAGTCGCAGCGAAGCACCAGCAGGACCTCCAGACGAAGCAGCAGCCAGAGGCGCAGCACCCCCAGACTCCGCACCCTCCGACTCAGCACCCCCAGGCTCAACACCCTCAGGCTCAGCACCCCCAGGCTCAGCACCCCCCAGACCCAGCACCCTTAGACCCCGCACCCCCCGGCTCCGCACCCCCAGACGCAGCACCCCCAGACTCAGCACCTGGAGCAGCACCTGAGCCGACAACTACCTGAACAGGTGCAGTACCAAGGAGAGGGTCTACCTGAGACACACCCGAGGGAGCAGGACCCTGTGGCGGGAGGGGGTCGACCAGAGGTGGACCGGGAGCAAGGAAGAGCGGCGAGGGCGGGGGAGGGCATAGCGGTAGGGGAAGAGACGGTAGAAGGGAACCGACTCGTCGAACGTGACGTCCTGAGACGGGAGGACACAGCGTGAGGTGGGGTGGTAAAACTGCCAGCCGGGCGCGTCAGGGACAAATCCAAGGAAGACGCAGGGAATGGCGCGGGTGAAGAGCTTGTCCGCGGACGTATCGCGAACAAAGGGACGAGAACCCCGGACTCGGAACACCTTTGCATCGCCAACTTTCCCCCGTCCAACGCAGTGTGGGCGAGGTCTCTGGCAAGGAGACACGGGGCCAGAGGTTGAGCTGATGCGCAGCGTACCGAACCGCAAACGGCCACAGAAAATGGGGAGCGGCCGCATGGATCATGGAGGTACGAGCGACCTCCATGACTAAGCCAATGCGGCGCTCAGCAATCCCATTTTGTTGAGGGGAGTCCGGAAGCTGTGAACGACTGGAGAATGCCCTCCCACGACAAAATTCCCGCAAGACGTCGGAGGAGAATTCACCACCTCTGTCAGAGTGCAGACGGTGGACAGGAAGGTCCGTACCGAAGCGCTCGCGGAGCTGGAGACGGACTGTGCGGATCCAAGGGATCAAGACATCAGGCGGCTACCTGACTTGACGCGGACACCTGAGCAGACGCAGCGACCTGAGGAGGCTCGGTAGCCAGCGTGTACAGACTCGACCCTGGCCGACGAGTGAACGTAGCCAGGTGACGCCCCGTCCGTGTGCACGTGCAGATCGACACACGCTAACCCCCAGGAATGGTGGTAGTGACCATCGCATCCTGAAGGGCAGCGGTACTCACCAAGTTCGTAGAGAACGAGGGGAGGTGAAGACCTGACAGTGAGCCGGACGGAACCGCCGGACATGGGAGGACAGTGGAGGAACGGGCAACGACCGGGCCCCCAGAGGGGTCAGCCAGTCTGGTTAGGACAGGTGCAGAGAGAGGATTGAAAGTGGTGCTGTCACGAAAGAAACAGCGCGAGGCGCCAGAGTCCCACGTGAAGGTGTGCAAGGCCTCAGCAGGCGCAAGTACCAGGGGGAGTACCAGACGCACTAGCACCTAGAGCAGCAGCCGCTATACCTGGGTCATGTGGCACACACCGGTAACAGTCACCCTCAGCACTAAAAGACAAAGCATACATGGCAGAGATAATAGCATCATAGTCTAGATCAAAGATAGCAACTC